TCACGAAACTAGTACATTAACAAAAAATTTCATATATATACAATTGTACAGCTTGATAATAAATTCGTCGAAAAGAGATCCCTTCGCTGAACCTCGTGTCTTTAATGTTTAAATGGGAATTATCTGTCAAATAAAACAGTATTTATATTTAACTACTAATTTCCTCAAACGTTGAGATATTCACAATAATCGACCGCTAAGCCTTAATATTAACGCCATGTCCAGTCCTCAGTACTAATCTCGTCCCACCGACCAATTTTGATTATTTAATAGCATGGTGCCCTGCAGATAAATAGGTTTGTCAGTTTTCCTCAGCTATATGTCATCAAATAAGTAACGTTTTACTTCTAAACTACAGTCTCCAAACCAACAATTTTTGGAAAACAATCACGTCAGAACATATACATACGTCTCTCAGAAAATTAATCCACTAGTGGTGTATCTCTCATTCCTTAGTATTGCAGGCCATTCTTTGCCCGATGTTTGATTGGTTGATTGTATCAAACACAATCACTGTATCTTACTCATGAACTAACAAAGCGTCTTAAAAACGTGAACTCTTTTCGACTTTCATAATATAGAATTCCCGTTTCTGAACTGATGTATTGCACATGATAGACAGAAGAACATCCACCATTTATTATTTGTTCAACAGAATAGCTTTATGTACTTTGACATTGGAACCAAACAGGCATCATATTTAATAATACCTGTTTGGAAACGATATAATGATAATTATTTCAGTTTTCCTATCTACTCCCGTATTATTAAGCAAATATTGACTTATCTGTGCAAACGAAAAAAACTGACTCAGTACTTGTTTAAATACGTACAAAAGGTTTGCGTCGAAAAACTCCGCAGCTCCTCTAAAACTGTCTAAAGCTCATAAATTAGAAATTTTTTGTTCAATGATATGATTTCACTTGTAGGTGTGATAATCACTCATTTTATACAAGCTTAGCGTTGTAGTGAACGCGAACACAAATGCGGGACAACCAAATGTATTTGAACACAAAATTACAGAACGTCTTAGTAAAATATGAGAACTCTACAGTAAATACTTCATTTGAAAAATGTCAATCAGTCGTCTCAGGCCTCATTGTTCCTTCGTTGCCACAGCAACCATTCTCTGTTCTCTTTTCTTCGATCTTCTTAACCTTCTGCCTCCAGGCATTTCACTTTCGATTGATGATATATACTACTTATATCTGTCGACATCAGTAGCACACAACAAACGTACACGAAAATCGAGGAATTTTTGTCTGTATACAGTGTAGTTTTGTCGATGAATTTACTTTTTTATATATACAGTGAACTCGAAAAAACATTGCACACTACGCAGAAGATGAAAATGCCTTTTTTAGTAGCTATTTGAGAAACCTGAATAAGTTAGGGATAAAATAAATTCTACATTATTATATCGATGAAAGCCTCTAAGTTGTAACTGAAGTGCAACACCTGAACGGCTTCATTGAAATAAAAAATTTAATCGAATACTAGTACTGTATGAACCAACGGTTAAATTCCTACATTAGAACGAAAATTTAGCAGAATTTTTTAGCGGGTTACCCCAACTATTCTATCTACTTAAAAGGACCCACACGTAATGATACAGATTAATAAAAGTTGTAGTTGGTCCGTTAACAGTTAGATGTAGATATCTACGACTACTTATTCAATTAAAATATTGCTTATATGTAATTAACACATTTGGTTTACTGAACAACATTAAGCCTTCACGATTTAAAAGAAGGAGTTAACTCTACAATTGTTGACATTTCAGAAATGTAGGAAATATACACACTGATTAGGTTAGATATGGAATTTTTTAATTTTGAAAAGTAGCTCGCAAGTCTTTGGACTTTAACCACTTATGAAACACTCACATATACGTAGCTTTAGAAGATTATGAATTTCATTAAAAATTGCTGGTGCTCTATAAGTGTTTGAAAACAAACAATGAAGTATATTCGTTGATACAAATCAAACTGTTCCGTGGGATAGAAAGTTCACATACTACATACTACCGTATTATAAATTGTGGTCGTTTGATATATATGTTCACAATATTTGTTATGTTTCAGGATTATTCATAAAAGTTAAAACGATTTGAAAAAAATGCTACGCTTCTTACAGTATCTATTCACTATAAATCCGTTGGTATAATTGAAAGTTGTGTTGGTCAGGTATAACATTCAGACTTTTGACCATTTTTACTAAAAATAAACTTTACAAAGTTTAGAGTCAATACAATCGTGTTTGTCATTCAACCTAGTTTTAGTTCATTATTCCATATAATTCTTAAACCCTAGACAATTTTTATCAATCTATTAATCGTAAATATTTCCCCTTATAGATTTATGTTAGTTTTAGCCAGTAATCAACCTGAACAGTTTGATTGGGCAATTAATGATCGTATGGATGAAATTGTTCAGTTCACACTACCTGGTTTGGAAGAGCGTGAACGATTGGTCAGGCATTATTTCGATCGTTTCCTTCTTCAGCCTTCGTTAACCAAAAGTCACCGTATTCGCCTAGCTGAAAACATAGATTATGCTGTAAAATGTGCAGAGATCGCTAAAAGAACGACTGGCCTCTCTGGACGCGAAATTTCTAAAATTGCAGTTGGATGGCAGGTACGCAATTCACATTTTTACATAAGTACTATTAATTTCAGTGAGAGTGCAACATTTTAAAAGAAGCAATAAAGAGATAGGTTGTAAACGTTTAAGAATGATTGAAATATTTCCAGGTTGTCAATTCATAGACGTGAATGCTATTGTGATCGTATTTTCATCCTACAAAAAATTAAGTGATATACCAGAATCCACTTAAACGATTGTCCAAATGGAAAAAGAAACTTTTTAAGATATTCAGGGTTGCTTCTGAACTATTAAAAAGTTCAAAACGTGCTAAAGCTTTAAAAGTAACGTATGCACTATTACCAGTATTTATCTCGGCTTCCGTGATGTATGGAAATGGAACAAGTTTGGTATACCGATTGCTAGAACATCAAACTAATATTAGTTTGCTACCTCAAATCACCCAACTCCTGATTAAGTATACTTGCGTAAATCTTTCGCTCAGTGTAACATTCAGTAAATCCCCAAGTCATTTCGACTTACAACTTTTGTTATCTTAATATGAATTAAACAATAGGTGGTTTACGTTAATGGTAAAAGACACTTAAGCATCTTTGAAAAGTTACGAGAACCTCTATATTTTTGTGCGAGTGCTGATGAGGATATATGGGATAAATTCAATATGGGTTGAACTGATTTTTTGCCATTGTATTACGTACATGAAGGATCAACACTTGTTAAAACCTGGTTCTGTAAACCAAAGACTTTCGATAACTTTGTGCGTTTACTGTTGTCGTTTCAGTATTTGTTGCATTAATTGCCTACACTTGTGCAATGTTACACCTGCTTGGACTTAATCCGTATTGGCTGGTTGAACGCGGTTTACAGGTATCGTCACAACCATTACTCAAACATTTCATGGATACTAGCAAAGTATAAAGGTTGTAGTGACTTGGAGTGCATCTATGTATTATGACTCCTAACGTAAGTGCCGTTCCTGTCGCAATGATTTCCTTTTCGAAATATAATCAATACTTCAGAGAAGTAAAATCTTTTTGGCCCTATGCTTATGTTGTCTGCTTCATTTATTACCATTATTTTCATTATTAATCTACACAATGTTGTAATCACGTTTCATTCTAGTTCACGTCAGTGCGCGCCAAACACTGTTTAAAATAACTATTGGTCCTCAAAATGTTACTGATTTTTTTCAAACTGAGGTCTAAAAATAACTAACAACACTGGTATTTATTGTATTTAGAAAACTTCTTACCTGACCAATCTTGCGAATTCCCCCCCCCAACTTCATTGATTAATAAAGTTCGCTTTCATAAGTATTGGTTTAATTTAACAAATGAGCTAAAAATGACCATCTATCATTAACTCTCTCGATTGTTTAATATTTTATGCTTCTTCCTTATTTCTGTTTCAACCGTAACAGACAGCTGCATATTCCAGCGAAGACGGTGTTTTGACAGAAGGCATGATGGATGCTGTTGTCGACAGTGCTATTGCAGCTAACCGTCAAAAACAAGAATGGCGACACTATAGACTTCCTGACGCGGTAGACGCTGTTCCAAACTAGTACCACTTACAAGAAGGAAGCTACCAGTTTTTGCATTACGCATCACATCTGTTATTTACTACTCTATACATATGATTCCCTGTGTACCTAATCAGTAGTCTTTTTGAGATAAGATCAAGTAGCTTTTTTAATCGCCAGATATAGTATTAAATTATCAACTAATTTTCTCCCTTAACAAAAAGCTTGTTGTTTGGTTTTTTCACGCAATGAACCAACAATGAAATACCTTTACAAATCCATTAAACGGTTCTGTGAGCACTTCAACGATATTTTATCGTGTATATTGGGTTGTACATTTTGAAATAGATCACCAAAGTTTGATTGTTTATAGTCCGAACAATTCAGTTTCTAACTAGCCTTAAATATAACTATAATGGTTATTCAGACATTTAGAGAGACGCTAGCGAGCATCGGCATACAACAGCCAGTACATCACAAACAGATTGTCAACAGTTTTAATGCTTTTATGAGTTAGCATAAGCCTGAACCTTGGGATATTTTTAAATGAGTAAATAAAAGAAATATCCTTAGCTTATTTTATTTTTAATAAGATTCTTGAGCTTTCTTTACCATTAAGGAACAGTCTCGATAATTCTATCGTTTATTAGGTGCATAACTGAAGTCATTTGATATGACATCATCCTACATGGTACGGTTACTGTCAAACCTTGGATGTTTTTGCTGATAGTCTATTACTTTCCCTTTTCAGAAGAATGGTTTGGGAGTGTGGCTTAAGTGGATAACTAGCTTGAGAAATGCACGATCAAAAGAGGTTTTGTAATTCTGCTTGACAAATAACAATTTGCTAGATTCCTTAACAAAAATAGAAGGGAAAATATCACAAAATATTATATTAGGCTGTTAACCGCTTACAATGTAAAAGCAGATGTTATCGTTATTACATAGTAGACATCCCGTTTTTGAAGTCATTTTGGTAAAGCTCTTAAAACATACGTCCACCATATCCGTAGGTTTGTTTCAGTGCAGCAAGGAAAATAGTGAGCCATCCATCGCGGGTATTTTCCAAGTCATAGGCAGGAACATTTTTTTGTGCTAAAAACAGGCGCGTCCCGCCTTCAAAAGCATTCATTTCCAAAGTCAGTGAGCTGTAGTGGTTCTCAGGCCAATCGCGTTTACGCCACCTCATTTGAATACTTTTACCAGGATCCTGAACATTTCGTAGACAACAAAATGATTCACATTAATTCAAACTTTAAGCATTAAAGTTGAACTTTTAAATCGCTGAGACAAACAAAATCCAGTAGTAAACAGACTAACTGAGTAATCAGAACTTTATTAACGGAAAGTATCCCAGACGGCCAATATACATAAACAAGTTTGGGACACGTAAAAATGATACCATAAGTTTCACAGGAATGATAACCATTGTTTTTTAAACCGACTAATTCTGCAATCAACAGGGACAAGGGTTTCATGCCTACTTTTTCTAACTAATTTATCTAAACAAAAACAGCGCAAAGAATTATTTAGATGTATCAATCAGCAACAACGTAAAACTTCGTATATACGTACATCAGTTCAAGTTGCCGCATTAAAACGTATATGTGCCACACAATAAAAATGAGGTCGTGAAGAGATAGAGAATGGAAGGCGAGTATACTACAGAAGGAAATGGAAATGAAATAAATTAGTGTATAAGAGTGAAAAATTTATATTGAGTAGCAGTTCAAATATACAATGTATGAGCATTCTTTCAACTAAAAACCCATTTATATGAACACCACAACAGAACTTTCACTGGCTTCTACTCTGAGCCATGTCTGACATCTCAAGAGCGTGAAGGACCGACAGTCTCGTACAGCTTTCTTCCACATCACGACACCATGTCGTGCTCTGAACACCTCTTCCAACCAGTCCCAGTGCATCAAATAACACACGGTGTGGAGTCCACTGAGATGACATCTATAGGATATGCCCAAGCCACCGAGATCGGTGTTTGAAGATGACAACACCAATTGAATTATCGTCATTGTGCTCAATCACACGTTGTCGAACCTCTGCATTACTAACATGGTGTCGCCACTGGATGTCAATAATCCTTTGGAGACAACAGTGATCAAACACGGAGACTCATCTAACATCCTCAACTCGGAGGCCAGTATTCGCAAGAACAGAGCAAAACTGCCTCACCGACGCGTTTGTACATTCAACCTTTTACAGCCAGACCAACATCACGAAGGCGCCAAAGATGGTCCAGATCGGCATAAGCCGCTATGGCTTTCACTATACGTGAATTGATTTCATCACTCATACCACTATGCACACTTACACGGCTACCCAGATAAGCGAACTCCCCGACTACTACTCAAAGTGAGAGCAGGCACAGGGTCCTGCTAATCTTGTAAAAGCGCTCTACACTTAGGTGGAAAGCACATGCCATACCTACGGACACTTTACCAACTGATTAAGTCTGCGTGATTTGGGTGAGTGTTCGTTGTGAGAACAAATATTTAAACCGCTCATCAAACCGTTAAATTCACGTTAGAAGACAATGTGACCGAACAGCTGAACAATTGAAATCTACTAGTTCCAGTAAAATCCTTGAAGATAGGAAGCCAGTTTTGCTACGAAGGTGATGTCATATGATTTTGAAAGAAGTGAAGGCAATTAGTTGAAAATAATATTCGCTGGAGCTCTACAACATATTCACAATACCTTCACACATAGTAGTTAATCAAAATGGGATTAGTATTGGATCGTGAGAATGAATGAAACATTAGAACAATAATTACAAAGAGATTAAGTAAAAATCCGTGTAGTGGAAAAAATAAATCAAAGATGAAAAGTATGAAAGGATTTCTCATCCGGTAAACACAGAACAACAAACGGAAAGGTTGGAGCAAAGCAGGATTTAAAGTTGCCTTTGAGGAGTTTGAGTCCAATTTCGTGCACTTTCTATGTCTATTTCATATCTGATCCCTCACTCGTTGAACCACGTTATTTGGTTTTGTGAAATATTTGGGAGGTAATGTGGAGTTACATAGCCATAGTTGGCAAGTTAATCATAAATTGAGCTAATGATTTAGTACTATTAAGAACCAAAGAGTGTAATAAACTGAAAAGCACTAGGAAACAGTAGATTATGTGAAGTTGATAAAAAATTTACAATTGCATATAAGTTGGTCACCATAACGAGATGGACAATTAATTATTAAACTTTCTAATTACGACTACTCTTAAGTTCCATAATTTTATCATAACCGTATCGGTTACTATTAAACCTCTTCCTGGTCCCTGTTATATTTTACCAAATATTGAATGCGATTTATACCGCTCAATAAGTATAATTTTAGTCAGCCACCAGATTTCTAAAATAATTTTAAATAGAATTGTACAGCTTCAGTGAATTGTACTGTTGAAAAGAAAACTAACTTCATTAAACTAACTAGTTGTTTCATATCAAATGAACTTATTCTTTTCTTTAGATATACCCTAACGAATGTGTGAAAAATTGGTGACTACATATAGACAAGTTTACTTTTGAATTATACTAGTGCTTTTCGAAAAATTACGTGGACAAAAATCAGTGGGACTTACTAGCAAGTCGAAGATTCCTGTAATGTTTCCACTGAAGACGGAATATGCTCCACCGACAACTGGGTCCACGGTGGCCTCAGATCGTGTAAAAGCTTTAACTAACTAAAATTAGAAAGAGCGCATTCGTACTTAAACTATATGATATTTATTTAGTAATTTATTAAAGGTAACCCAATACAAACTGAAAGTAACTAGCGAAATGTGTGTGGTATGGTATTCCAACAAGAGTATCATTTCCTAAACAATTCACATTGTAATGTGATCATACATTGATGAGTCAAACGCAACGTAGAACATGGCACGTACATAAATATGTACTACTATAACTCCAAAGTCTGGTATCAAATTCTGTTATTTACGCAAGCCGGGTACAACTATTTCAACATTACGATCAAGTCATGGATATTGCTTTTTTAAAATACTTCGCAAATACTATCATAACACTTCTGGAAGAGTATTGTATATGACTTAATATCACACAAAATTCACGGAATATTATGGAGCATAATTTAGATCAACATACTCGTGGCCTCTTCTAGAGATAGACGCAAATTACCTTGTTTATTGAACATACATCTTGAGGGAGATTTATTATAAGATTGGCTTTTTATTATACGTTCTTGAAATAAACACTATACAACAGGTTTTGTGTGAGCAATTATACTACTATGGTTCCAAAGTTGTTGAAACAGCTAATTTCGATGTTCTTCAATCCAATGATGCACATTTAATCCCAAGAATTTGAATATAAATGAGAGCCTTAGTGCATGGATTAACTGGTTACAAATAACGAGTCGCACCAACGTATTTAAATGGTTAGCAGGAGTAAGTTTGGAAATTTAAGTTGTGTTTAACTACTTCCCCGAAGCACATGAAAGAAAAATTAAGCTACTGCCAGAATTATTGAGTTACTTACTTATACGTTGCAAACTGCAAATTTTCAAATGCGTGACAATATGGGTGTTTCCATAATGGTAAGTATGAAAACTACTTTACAAATTCAGATCATATGGTTAAATTAAGATATTCATTATCAATGAATTCAAAAATTGTTATGTTCCCCATTGTCCGATATTCCTTGACAAAAAGAGCATTGTGGTAGCAACAGGGTAGATCCCAAGAAACATCTGTATAAAGAATAATTCTCACAGAAGCTTCTAGTATCTTTCCGGTTCAGCTACGAGTGATAATGATTGGATCAATCAGAGAATTCAAATTTGAGCTTAAACTAAGCATGCAGCGCAGAATGTCCTGTTAACAATACTATTTACTTTAAGAACAAATTTGCCACCTTAAAATTTACAGAAAACTGAGACATTATTTTTTCCATATATCTAATAGGGGCGACCCTACAACCTATGTGATTCTTACTGTAAGGAGCTAGGTACCTCTTTAGTAGTGAGAACTCTGTAAAGGTCATCCGGAGTGCAGAAAAATTCATCTGTGATTGAAAGATCTCTGTTTGACAGGTCTTTAGGTTCTTTGATCCCATCGGCAGTGTGGAAAGCTTTGTTGGTTGTTTTGTCTAGAGCCGCGCCAGACCGTGTTGTACTAGCAGGATTCACGTTAGCACCATTCTTTGATGGGAGGATAAGACCCTGAGCATAATCTGTTACAATAAACTCGAAAAAAAGTATTCACATACTAACCTTCTTTAAGTAATGTGATGTATTTCTCTAATTTGGACTTGATAAAGTCAACACCAGTTGACTTCATAAAACTCCCGACTAGATCACCATCAGTGCTAGAAGTCCAGCTCGTATTGGTTTCACATTTATTTACACCGTATTCATCAATCAGACTTATAACTTCCACTTTACCTACAATTTTTACCTTGTCTTCCGAACTTTTTACTATTCCTGTTGAAATAAAATGACAAAAAATATGACGTCATTGAAAGAATGGAGAATGTACACTAGATTTAACAATACAAATGAAAAAGTGGTGTCTTATAGGCTTTGGTTTCCATAATCAGTGTAAAAATTCGAAATTATTAGGATTTGAAATCCGACTAAACTATTCCAATAAAGGGGATAGAACTGTATCTAAATTGTCAAGTAGTACAGCTCCAAGCCGTTATGAGCGAGACCTACGTTTCTAGTCCGACAACTTTACCAAGAATTAGGTGTAACAAAATGGCCAATATTGACGGAAATCAAGCAAAGATACAACATCCTTCAATGTAGACACAAACTGATAGCTTGGTTTAGTTGTTATTACTGACAGCAGTCAGATAGGTACAGAATGCCATTAAAATTTACAGACGATCTTTGAGCAACGCTTAGGTGACCTCAAGATAACTCACCCACTTACCAGGACTAAATGAGATATATAAATTTGTATGCAGGACTAAGAATAGAATTTAAAGTTAGGATTTAGGAAGTAAGATTTGGGTAGTAGAAAGTATAAAGGTCAAATGTAGGGAAACCAGCTACAATATACAAAATAGTATAGAACTTACCCTCCCAGTCAATCACAATCTCCCACTCGTAAAAGCACATTAACTTTCCTTTCCGAACATAAACGTTAGCCTCCCCATCAAGTTTAGAAATATCAGTGATTTTACAAGAATCTTTAGAATATCAAAAGCAGTAAGTTGATGGACACTACTTACATAAGTCATTTTCAATCTTAGAACCTTTCAACAGCTCTTTTATCTTATTTATGGACCAGCCGGTTGCGTCTTTATCTGACCAGTGCCAATTATTAACATTTTTCGCATCTGCTCTTTCCTCTACAATCCACCTAGGATCACCTTCTCCCAACTTCGCCATGTTGACAAGCGCTAGTACCTGGCTGTAATGGAATGATCGCGAAACAACAATGCGTCCGCCCAAGGTCGCGAGGACCTACCTTTCACTGTCCAATACACAAGAAGTCAAGGTGACTAAAAGACGATCGAAGGATTTCGTTTGCCTTTTAGGAAGATGTTAAGATAACTGGAAAAACATTACTACTAAATATAATGAAATAACTTCTTCCGAGAGTGCTATGGTTTCGCAATTGTATCAAAATTTACAAACTGCCCTTAATACTTTTTCAAGCTTGTGTTTCTTCGGATAACTTGTTTGTTTACACGGGCTTTCATTTTATCAAAAAGATTTTGGACCCTTGAATTAAATCAGCGGTAGCCTCTCTAATCTTCTAATGGGTTGTTCACCAACGACGAAACAATTGTGGTCTAGGGTTGGACAATTTACTGATCTATATTGCCAAAGTAATTCCCTGAAAAAACAGTTTCGCAAACATTTGACATATGCACTAACAGTCTTATACAACAGTCAGACCATGGTAGGTTTGCATCTGACCTGAAGGTACCTCTTATAGTGAGGTAGTATGAGAAGCAGTATGTGAGGTGATCTGGAAGAGAAAAGAACGAGAGGGAAAGTAAGACGACGACACGGTAAACACATAGAATGTAATTACTTTTGGTCGCGAAAGAAACAGGTAACATTCACGAGTGACACAAGCATGAGACTGAGACAATCTAAGAATCGATACTACAAATCGGGACTCGTGTTCTAAAAGTGTGCTGATTTCGTACCTTTAATAGTCGAATTCATGAGCCTATCTAGGCTATGCCATCACTGAAAACCTAAAAGAACTGAACGGCCGTCTCGTCCTGGCATGAGACTTCTCAGTAGTGAGAAGCCACAATCCCAAGTACGAGATTCGAACCCAAGACCTTCGTTCTCAGGACGGACACTTAACATCTAGGCCACTGAACAGGCATCCAACAATGCTAATGCCTAAATTCATTCGATTCTTGACTTTGCACAACTATTCGTCCATCGTCTGAGGTAAATGCTCATCTCTACCCAACAAGGATTAAACCAGCGGAGTCAAAAGCATAAGAAGCATGATTTTTTCCACTGTAACTTAAATTATTGGGGTTAAGATTTAAAATTTTGTTCAAATCCGTTTTGTGGTCCCTTCTTAAGTCGATTCTCATCTCATATATTTTTACAGGATTTCCCCGCTTAAATATGTTTGCAGTGGTCGGTCGTACTTATAAATTCCGACAGCAAAATTGTTTATTTCCCACAGAGTGAGAAATGCAATGCATTGAGTACTGGAGGCGGTTCCACAAGATGTGTACTGATATAAATCCCACCCTGTACAAATGTTATAACTGTGAGACGGCAGCAGATAAGAGGGTAGTCAATTATCAATCGGAGAAAAGACGCACAAACACGTAGAACGACCTAGGGTTCTGATTGGTCCCGCTTCCCTGTCTAGCCCAGCAGTTGAGTCCAGAACGCAAGTCTCAGCCTCGGATATATGAATCATTATATTTCAAACATACTTTGTTTATATACCAGTCAATCAGACCACAACGTACCATAAAATAGAAAATAACATTGTACAATATTGACCAGTAGGAAAATAACACGTGAAATAAGTACTGACTAATAAGAAAATCATACCATGTCCAAGTCTAAGAATAGCATTAAACTCAATAGGATAATTTTTGGGATATTTTCCTGAATATCCAAACAACAAACGATGCTCGAACCTTAACTCTCATTGGCTCTCCGTGTTTTGCTGTTTGGATGAGACATCACTGGTCCAAAGGGCAATGGGCCTTCTTTCGTTGTCCAGAAATAAAGTTTGTGGTGGCAACACTGGTAGCATGAGTACTAACATCTAGAAATATGTCACTGTAATAAGCGCTGTTAAGAGACGAGCCAATCAACCGACCACTAAACATGATATAAGATAATCTACTTTGAAGCGAACAAAATGTGAAGTACCACTGGATATTAGTTGTCATGATTCTAAAGCAGTGCCTGGAGACCCGAGTTAACTCGTCACCGTTCCAAATAGTCCCAATATGGTTGTTCCCAATTTCGATAAGTAGACAACAGTAATGAAGCAAAAAAGAGATAGAAGAAGACATCAAGAATAATACACATTTGGTTGAAAAGTTCTTTGCATATTCACATTCTATCATAGATTACACCGCCAAAGTCCTAAGTAAGATTGGACTTAATCCTAGCGTAGGTCGAAACATTTATCTTAACGCTTAACTGTACAAGAGTTCAGGTAAAAAAGCTGATAAGAATAGATAGGAAGATCGATGAAAACTTTGAACCGCGACCATATAGACTTCTTAATATAACCCGAGGATGGAACGAAGAACGAAAACTTTTGTTAACCATTGCTTAAAGTTAAAGCAACACCGACATTCGACTAACACCTGACATGTCTGTGAAAGTCGGGAAGAGCTGAAATCTAAAAGGGTCAAAGAAGAGGAAAAATTTCCACTTGATGGGTTTTCGAGAAGCTAGGTCTTGAAAGTTAATGTTACCAAGGTCTGTATGGACAAGCTGTTCGCTTTCGGAGTTATATATATATATATATATATATATATATATATATATATATATATATATATATATATATATATATATGAAAGCTTGTAATACAAGAAATAAATATTATAAAGTAGAAGTAGCTGGAACCGAAACCTAGTTGGTCCATGTCTCTGACGTCACGCTAGAATTATCGAGATATAACTGTCTAAGTGATATGAATAGATGTATTAAAGGTGGTCCTTATATACATAGCTAATAATATAGACACCAGTTCCTTGGTTCGTGAATCTCATGATGATGATATTTGTGATGTTACAAGCTGTGGATTTACTTTTGAAGGTTGTACGTTTATATTCGGTGGCATCTATCCTATTCCAATCTGTCTAACTGATGACTTCATTTTGTTACACCTTCATGCAACCGAAGATGCTATCTATCTAAATCATACTTCACCGTGGCAAAATAATAATATACGATAGGGTTAAACCTCACACGAATCTATGAGGATTTAAAATTTCTTCAATCCAGCGGCGTGTTGCACCAACGAACTGGTCATCAAACACTTACACACCTACTGAAGAATTGTGGTCCATACTTCAAGGTGCGCTTAACTTACTTGCATTCAGGTTATGTCATGCTTTGTAGTACGTAGACCAAATAATTCTCTACTTTGGTTAACCAAAAATATCGATAAAATTTTTAACGTCAGAAAAAGCATCAGAGTTTTTATATCTCAACAGGCTCTGGACAACACAGATATGTCTGTTATAAGGTGACTGCTTGCAAAGTGTCAGTGAGCAAAGCCAGGCGTTCGCACAAAAAACAAGTGATTTGGAATTATGGAAACAGTCTGAAAAGGTCATTTCCGTGTATAAAGAAGCAAACCCAAAGAAGCGACGAAACCTCACCACTTACGATTTATATTGGCAAGGAGTGGCTCTGCAAAGGCCAAAGCCATATCAGTATATTTTAGCAAAGTATGTTCTGTCGAAGATGTTGAAAGACTTATAAGTAATCGTGATAATGACGGCCTGTCGATCGATCCTGTGATTATTGGGAGAAAAAACTGTCTGACTATTTCTTGAACATCTTAAACTGAATTTTGATTTGACTGGGTTGCTATCCTCCGATTATAAATGTGCTACAAACAAAAGCGTTGTCATCCTATATGTCTATGGCAACTTTATATGTTTGGTTGTAGCTGAATATAGATGCATGTGAGACTACCGATTTCGCTCTCTGGGAGATGTAAGAAAATCCGATATACGAACTGACGAAAAAGTTGCATGACTCACCTGGTCAAGCAGGTTAAAACTAATCGAGCGAAAATCATTAGTGAATGCTAACTTGCTTGCTCCTACATTTCAATATAATGAAGTCTGATAGTGTAATCAGTAAACAGTCGTTAAATTTGATTCTTATAGGATTTGTAATTAAATTCTAGACGGAAAGTGAAACGTTTAGTGTCGTTGTTTGAGGTAGTCTGAATGCGTGTTGAAATTCTCTAGTTCAGAACGATATGGTTGTGAAAATCTAGCTAATGAACATCTTTGAACTTTCAATCAGATTATAAAACGTGATTCAAATATGATAGTCAATACTAACATGGTGGTTATAAATTTGGTGAACACTGGTAACCTAGATAGATGAAAAAACATGTCATCTCACCCTATTATTTGCCCAATTATTTCGACAAATTACATTCTTTATCGACATTCCTAATGACCCTGAAAGTTTGGCTATATCTGATCGTGCTCCTATGGCACCCATAAATCACTTGCGAAATAATAATATGTCACAAGGATTGATTTGGACTATCTTACAGAGTGAAGATATATGATTTCGAAGAGAACATGGACGTTTTTGTGGTGCATTTCCAGATTTCAGCTGTCTGACGTTTTGCTGGTTTGTGAGTATCTTATAGACTTTCTTGACATTGTTGGATAAAAACGTATTGACTCAAATTGAGTCTTGTGTTTGCACAGAATAATTGCGTTGATTTTAGCTGGATTGTAGTGTTCGAATTTCACGGATTATGATCAGGGGTGGATTTGGGTTTAACTGCAGCCATGATCAGTCACTTTAAGTACAGACTTGCAGTCTGTTTCAAGTAAAATTACTTTTGATAATTCAATTTACACTAATATGGCTTTGTATTTTCTTCTCAACGCTACTAGAATTGATATTAAGGGCAAGGCATAAGATTGAATAACTTTGGTAATGATGCCATCACTTTTTAAAGTTCGCTTACACTTTACCCCCAGATCGAACACCAAACTCTTGTATAAGGGCTTATTTTCATTTATCAGAACAGTGGACGTGTCGCTTTAAGACTCTTGATCTCGGTTCAAGTCCTCACATTTTTACTTTTTTGACGTAATTCAGAAAGGTTGTTACAAATCAGTGATAATGACACATTTGATAGTCAGTAAAGAGGGTCAACATCGTACGTATGTTCGTGAAACATGTAGATGTTAGAAGTTGATAAAATGCTGGCATGGATGTCAGTTGTATCTTGTGGACATAAGTGGTTACGACGCA